GGCTCTCCCTTCTGCWGTTTTCATCTGTGCACTTTTATTTCCTTCATCTCCTTTTCCTTTACTTTCATCCACCCCTGGTGTTTTTCATGTCTAATCTCCAATTTTCTTCTTATCACTCCGAGCCTGTCGTCTTCTTGCCAAAAATCTCAATTATTATTTTTTTGTCGTTGATCTTCTTGCTTCCTTGGGTTATTTCAGAATTCAGCGAGGTGATGTATGCCACCTCAGCGTTAAATACGAGTTCCATATTTCCCTGTGATGTGAGCCAAAGGATTTTCCTCTACAGACTGTCGGACAGATCCTGCTCTCATGTGCTTCGAAGTCCTACAACGATCAGAGACAGGGCAGCAGGTGAAGTGTGTGGAAAGAGGCGAGCTACTTGAAGAGAAATGATGTCAGAAAACCTTCATTTACCGTTTGGTGTGTCATGTGACTCACTTTAGTGGCAACTCTGCTTGACCTCAACACACTCAGAACTGCACACACACCCATGTACACACAATAATAATACAAAGCTGGAAGGTTACCAACACAAGAATGTGTTCACTAAAACAGAAAAACTTGCAAAGTTTAGAAACGGATTTAACATCCATTCCTCATTTCCAAAAGAAAAAAAAAATTCCATCCTTTTCCATTAAAGCCAGCACAATCCTTGTTTTTTTCTTGCAGTTTAGTTGCAAAAATATCTGTTCAAACTGTTTCTGCTGTCCCTGAGGACCTGTACGCACACTTAAAAGTGGGAATGGATTTAAATTTGCYAGAAAACAACAGCAGCAAAGCAGATTCTTAATGACATGTGAACATCATGCCTACCCTACTTCCTGAAAATATTTCAGACTTGTAAAGTCCAAATAAGGAAATGTACGAACTCAGCAGATTTTTTTTTTTACACCTTTAGGCCAGATTCTGTCCAATTTATTTCTCCTCTGAGTTCTTGAATCTGTATTTTTGATTATAGCAATGATGTGACAAACTAAATTATCTGGGTAATAAACACTGTCACTAACAATATTCTGTCATTGTGATTCATTAAAAAAAATTGATGAGCTCAAATAAAAACAAATACTGTATATTTTAAAGCTTATTTGTTTCATGCTCATCTCAGTCTTGAATGTGAAAGAACCAATAACGCAAGCACATAAAATAAATTTATAACTGACATACCACTCTAAGAAAAGAAAGTGACCTGTGTCAGAGCTCTGTTTGAGCATTTCTGTCATTCCAAGCAGGCTCCTCGTTGAGTCCAACTTGTGTAAAGTTGACTCTGTGGAGCACCTCCCAAAGGGTTTCAGTGTTAATCTCAGGACTTCCACAAGTAATCAAAAGCAAAAACCGAATTGAATCAAATACGACCATGCCAAACAAATCATTAGTTGTGGCAGCCATTTTTGATGAGATTTAACTTCAAAGGTTTTTCTATTGTATATGTACATGCAATGATGCTTTTCATTAAAATCTGTACACTGTTTCTTTTTATAGTCACTTCATTAGAGAACAGAACTGAACATTAGTGTCTTCATCATCAGTGACTTTTTTATAAAGAGAAAAAGAAAGAGAAGAAAAAAGAGAAATGTAGAGATTAAAGAAGATATATGAAATATACACCAAGAAAATACAAGACAACACACCTGATATCTGTCTGCACACCTGACGAAATAGAGAAAACAAAAACACAGCAACAAATAACATGTGTATATCATAATGATAGCTATTACCTTGCTGAAACATTTACATATACACTTAGATACATATACACATACAGTATATGCACCCCCCCTAGAACTGCTTCGCTCCACAGCTGCTGATTAACATGAACAGGTGTTCATTCCTCATGATGTCAACAGATGTTGGCAAGTGGTAGATGCCTGCTTGTCTGTTTCAAATGAATTATTTTAACCATCTTAATCGGACAACCYGGTTTCTAAAGACAAAAGTAATATCAAAGATAKAACTATTTAATTTTGATAATGTATGTAAGTTGGCAGTGAGATTTAGAAAGTTGCACGAGGGGCACCMACATGAAATATATTGTCTAGAGCCGGCCCTGCACAGCCCCCATGCCCCTCTTTAACAGCACCCACTCTGCAAGGTGTTTGCACACGTGAACTCCGTGCACATGTCTCTTTGGAAATATGGCCCATGAATCCAGCACATTGAAAATAAACCACAGAGTCTACAAACAAAAGATGTAGTCACTTCACGTGCTACTGTGGAGAGGAGGGATTATTGAGTAAAAAAAAAAAAAAAAAGTACTTTTCTCTTTGTCTGTCTGTGGTAGAAAAATAACTCCTGACTTCTTCGTGAACTACTCAGTAGCACTGTTCTGTTGTTTGTGTGTCTATCATGAGCACAGAACATCCAGGGTTTGCTTTGGAAGGACTCAAGCCCAGGAAGGAAGCTCATCCGCTGGGGAGCCGCCTTTGGGAGTCAAGGATCTGGAGGTCACTTGAAATGAGCTTGTTAAATTCAACACCCAGCAGAGGAGAATTATGTGAAAGAATGAGCTGAATCTCAAGGCAAACAAGCGTTCACCAAGAATGTTTAAACGTTTGCTCCTTCAGCTCATCAATCATACTCAATAAAGCAAAAAAAAACAAAAAACAAAAAAAACAAAACTAAGTTGTCAGTTGCAACTGCAGTACAATAAATCACTGCAGCAAACACTCTGATAGCTCATCTCTGACAGGCTTAATCACCAAAAACAGAGTGACAAAACTGGCCTCAGACAGGACGATATCTKCACGCACACTGTGAAAGTGCTAACATGCAAATGTTCTGCAGATGTGTTTTTCATCTATCATGTTCACCATCTGAAATTAGAATAKTATTGTGCTAACATTTGGTAATTACTAAAAAGAAAGACTGCAGCAGAGTCAGATGGAAATGTCATCAGCTTCAAGGTTTGTTCATAAATCAAAGGTTTGACCCGATAATGGTACCGGAGGGAAAAGGTCAGGAAACCAACAAAGCCCATGGGCTTTATTCTCAGGGGACTTTCATTATTTGTGCTAAATTACATGAAGATCAATCTTCTATTAGTCAAATGCTTTAGTCAGATCCAACAAGATGGATTAACTTGAGCTGTAATTGCTAAAGCTGCTGTATAAAAACAACAATGTCCAAGTTTGTTGACATGCTGCCACCTAGTGGTCATTTATAGGAAACAAAAATATTCTTATGAGCTCGTGTTTACAGAAGACTGGCAATTGATCTAACTATAATATTTGGCCTAATTCATATTCATCTTTTTTGTTTAATTTTGGTTGAATAAATCAAACTATATCTCATATTTCTTAGAATACAAACAAAAAAGTTGTTAACACATGAACGCTTCAATATATTTATCAAATTTATCAGAAGTCGCTTTGCAAATGTTTCTTATTCTGTGTTGTTCCTTATTCTCTTTTTTTCTCATTATATTTGCACATACATTTGCTTTAGTAACGGTCATTGTCAATAATAATAATAATAAAATACTCAGAAGTTTAAAATGTCAAACTAAAATAGTTATTTCAGGGTCTGAAGCAGAGACAGTTTATAAAAATACAACTTTTCTTTAATTTTTAGGTTTCAAATTAGATTATTTTGTAGACCACATAAACACATTTCAAAGGATATGAAGAAAACAATGATGAATTTGATGATTTAAAACATTTTTAACAATACAAAAATTGCATTAAAATAAATCATTAACCTCTGGTGTCCTTTTTCATTTTCTCTCATTTTATTTTTTGCACAGCTTTAAGACAAAACACACAAAAATGCAGTTCACAATCCTTAAAAAAAGATCTTAATCGGAATTTAAACACATAAAAATTGCTGCGATGCAATTTCGTATCGAGACACTGTTAAGTCACAGCTCACACTCAGTCATTAACATGCTCACCAAAATCTTTATATTGAAAAAATAAAAACAGGACTGATGTCGCAATACAAACACTTCTTAACACAGCAAATGACAAAGAAAGTGTCTGGTTCAACATCACAAAAGCTTACAAAATCTGGGACATTTATGCTATCTGCAGTATTTGTTTGGTCGCTATCTTTAAGGTCACTGAGAAATATAATGAGGTCAGAGCTGATAGGTAAAGATACATGAACACAAATACACACACACAATTTAAAATCTAACATTCTTAAGGTCTGTTTCAAACAGAAACAAGAGTCACTTCTGATTAACAACATTTACAAAACAATATTACATTCACAATGAGTCAGTCGTGGTCAGAATTCAATTTGTTCTTGACTTTTAAATTATGCTCTCAGAAACAGAAACTATACCAGGAAGCTTAATAAATAACCCAACCCAGGCTAAAGGGTATGATTGTTTCATTTAACACAACTAGAAAATAAATCAGAGTACGCAGTAAGACACATTTAAACAGTTTGTTATTTAGGTTCTGTGCTTCTGATGGAAAATCAGCTACATTTCAGTGCAGAAAATCAGCTTTCATTTTCAAAATTGCTAATATTCATTGCTGAACATGGAGTGTGTGTGTGTGTGTGTGTGTGTGTGCGCGCGCGCAGGGGGTATGTGGGCCCATGTTTTTGCTACTTGGTGGGGACAATTTTTCAGGAAAATGCAGCTTCGTGGGGACCAAAGCCCGGTCCCCATGATTTCGGAGGCTGATTTTGTGTGTGGGGGTTAGGTTTAGGACCAAGGTATGAATTGAGTTTAGGTTAATTTTAGGGTCAATGGTCTGGGTTAGGATATAAAATGACCAAAAAATGAATGGAAGTCAATGGAAAGTCCCCACAAAGATAGAGAAACATGGTATGTGGGTGTGTGTGTGTGTGAGAGAGAGACGTGGCCTTTTCAAAACACAATGCAGAACCTTGCACCAGCTCAGCAGTAACTGTAAAAGCTTTATGTGTCATTTCAACAATCTCTAACAGCTCTTTAGATTGATGTTGAATATGAAGCAAATAAATCATAACCAGAGATATTTGGAGAAGCTGGTTAAAMTTTTTGAAAGAAACAGGAGGAAATGACAAACATAGCCTGGAGTGCAAGTACCTGAAAATTAGCTAATTAAAAAAAAAAGAAAAAGAAAAAAACACCTCTATGATGCAATTTAAAATGCTTAATTGTTACCTGCTTAGTAATCAAAAGGATTTCTAGTTTTCTTCAAACGGTTGAGTTGATCACCTGAAGGCCTCATTCATCATCAGCTGGCTCCTCGTTAAGCCTTGTCAAGGTTTTGGTTTGTTCTGGTCCCAGGTTGCACTGTGAACTCGGTCCATTATAGGGTGGATTCCTTGGAATTTATTGAAACGGGTTTAAAGGTCAAGATCTCGGTGAAGGTGTGACCTGCAGAGAGAGGAGAGCAGCTCATGTTTCCTTCTCCGCTCTTCTGAAACTACACCCTCAGCATTGATTTGATCAGCCGTAGACCCCCCCCCCCCCCTTATCCTTACGTTTCCACTGATCCACCGTAAGCTCTGCRTTGACAACCGTGAAGTCGAACGGCTCGCACGCCGTCTCCTCCTCCGGATCCCTGAATTCAGCAAAGTAAGGCAGAGCGAGYGCCTCTGCAGCCGTTACCCGCTCCTCTGGATCCAGCAGCAGCATGCGCTCCAGGACAGTCACGGCTAAAGGAGGAGGAACAACGAAGAAAAGATAAAAATATAAAAAAGGTATAAATATAAAATAAAAGGTGAGATTTGGCAAAAATAAAAACAAATAAGGAGGTTATTCTACCTTGTGGATTAACATCAGGGAATAATGTATGAAGATCTGCTTTAGGCTTTGATGAAGCTTTCTTTAGGTAATCTTTAGCCTTGAAGACAAAACATGGACACACAAATACACCATGAAATTCTTAATTCTTTTTACTGTAAGTGTTTTTACCTTCTGATACCTGCATTTAAAAGCTAAACAATTAAGAAATACTTATTTTATTGTTTTGCATATCCTTAAACTCACGTCTTCTGATTCTAGTTTCGATATAAACTCTTGAGTCGGTGTTCCTGTGACCTTCCAGGTCTGCTCCAGCTGATCTATGTCTGAGGAGATGGAGTCAAGGCTCAACAGTGTAGAAAAAAAAACGTGGTCGACGATTTTTATTGTGTTGATGATGTTGGATAAACATAAACCTCTGTTTTAAACAGAGGTGGATAACGGAGTACATTTACTTTGTTGAAGTGCCTGTGACATGCACATTCATGGAATACAAAAAGTCAAAGAAAAATAATTATGTCACATTATGTGTTTTCTTATTATTATGTCCATTATGTCAAATAATTGGCTTACTTTCTTTTGAACTTGGCTCAGCTAAAGAGAAACAGGAAGTGACATAAAAGGGGAACTCTTAAAGAAATCAAACTCCCTGGTTTTTGTTTGCTTAAACAGTATTACTTGAACTCTGGCTCTCTCAGCGATTAAAATAATCTAAAGAAACATCAGATTCTTTTCTACAGTCTGTGCTGTTAGCCATTTTAGCAATGTTCTGTTCACATGCAGATATTCCCCTTTGACATCACTTCCTGTTTCTTCACATGCAAATATCTCAACAACTGTTCATCTCAGTGGCATGAAATCTTTTTTTAAACATTTCAGTGTTATCCTTCCAAAAACACATTCATTTTTATTACAAAAATGTGATGTCACCGGCACTTTAAAGTACTCAAGTATTTGTTTTATTGTAACTTTTCTTTGCTACACTTTAACCATACAAATTACACTTTTACTCTATAAAAATTAAAATATGGAAACTTATCATGAAAGGAGTTGTTTATGCATTTTTAAAAAAGAAAGGGTTGAATTTACTTAACCAAGTTATGTCAACTGGTTCCAGTAAACCATGTTGTGTAAACGTRAAAATTTACTCGACTCATTTGTTGGGTGTGTAAAAGTACCGTTTTATGACTTCTACTTAAGTATTTATCTTATCAGTGAAATTTTTTTTTTACCCAAGTCACTTTCTGTTAAGGTATTCTTACTTTTACTTTAGTTATTTTTACTTTATACACCTCCAGTAGTGAGAAAGTGGTGAAAGGATACGATCGGCKCCTTTAAAAAGAGCTCTTCCTTGGAGCATCTCTGCCAAGATGCAGCCCACGGACCAAATATCCACTGAGGGAGACATGTGGTTAGTGATCAGCAACATTAGATGCACATGTTCAAATAATTAAAACAATAATAAATCAAATGAAAAGGCATTGAGAGCGCCACCTGCTGGATATAAAATTACACAGTACATGTTCGTTTGTGTTTTTAACCTGCTGCTAAAGATAAACAGGTGATGTTTGCTGCCATTGTGTGTATGGGTGTTTTTGTATTATTATTGTGCAGTTTTAGCAAAATATCTCATGAACTCTGACAAAGTAATTAATAGATCTCCAACTGATTAACTTTGTAATCAATCCAATCCAAGATGGCCACCAGAAGTGACACAAAAACAGCTGTAACTGAGTCAAACGGACAGATGTTGAGCTAAAAATCTGATGCGGTAGTAGCCGAAACTGAACTCTGGATTTACCGGTTTGCGTGTAGTGCATCCAGTTCAGGATGACCTCCGGAGCTCTGTACCAGCGGGTCACCACATACCCCGTCATCTCGCTGTCCGCCTGCCGTGCTAAACCGAAGTCTAAAATCTAACAGAACATGAATCTGCATTAATATATTTATTATCACTTCTGCCGATTTGCATATAGATTCTGAGCGCTATCCAACTCAGACACGAGAGTTTGTGGGAGTCTGACGTAAACAGCTGTACCTTTAGCTCACATTCCTGGTTCACGGCTAGATTTGAGGGTTTTAAATCCTGGAAAATATTCAAAGGACATATTAGCGGTCAAATCAGAAGGAAAAGGAATCCCTAAAAAGCTTCACACAGACATACAATTGTAGTAAAAATGTTTACAAACATTCATCATTAATGACACTGAATGAACTTCCTCATTGTTCCCAGCATTAGTCAGTCCAATAAGCAAACACATCCCATTGATACAACAGCTGCAGTCGATCATGATCACTAAATACATTAATAAACCATGGCTCACTGGACGTAAACTGACAAGTAGGAAAGAGAAAAACAGAAGCTTACCCTGTGAATAATGCCAGCAGAATGGATATACTGTGATGAAGAAATGTAACACAGGATTAATGAAGTCAACTGCTGAACAAAAACACTTTCATGGAATACAAAGCAGGACTCTTTACCTTAAGACCTTTGAGAATCTGATAACCCAGATACTGAATTCTTTCATCTGACAGACTAAGTTTCTTCATCAGCTTCCCCAGATCTGTTCCCATGAACGGCATCACGATATAACTGGAAAAACAAGAAAAGAAAAGAAAAAAAAAACAGAGAGTTTAAAGATTTTATCCAAACTGCGCACAACTTTCTATCCTCCTGCTGCACTTACAAATCATGGAACCGGTCCAAAGAAAGGTCTGGAGTGAACACATCCAGCAAACCAATGACCTGTGGACAGAAAAAAAAACAACAACAAATATGAGCTAGCATTAAAAACAGGACTGATTTGAGGAGAAAGGAGGGATTATATCGAGCCGCACGTTCTCATGCTTCATGTGTTTGATGAGCCTCAGCTCCCTGAAGGCCCGCTTGGCGAACGTCTCCGACTGGAAAGGCCTATAGAGCTTCTTGATCGCCACTTTGGCCCCTGTTTTGGTGTCCAGCGCATAACTAACAAAGAGAGAAGAGAAAATGTAAAAGAAGCTAAATAACGTAATCTGTTAATAATCACGTGTAACAAACGTGCTGGGCATGGGGAAATGATTCTGTTTAGAAACTTCCCTGTTAGCGGGCCACGATAACTGCAGAATCTGTAGTGTTTTTGTTTCCACACCTGCAGATTCTAATCACCTCTCTGACCACAAGTTTTCAACCTTGTTTGTGTGATCTGTTGAACCTCAGCCAGTCACAGCAGTGTATTGCCCTCCCACAGTTAATCATTCATAAATGATGCAAGACGAGCAAATACACCCGAAGGCAGAAGGTCTCTGTCTGTTTGTGCTGTTAGAAAAATATCTTGTGCTTCAATTCACACGTTTGAATGAAACGCTCAGGAAGAMATCATTAAAGGTTCAACTGATTCACTTTTGATTTGATTTGATTTGATTTATTTAACAGGAAATGATTATTAAAAATCAAGCCTGACTCAGCATAATTGCTGTTTTACAGCAGGTTCCTGTTCTGCAGCACATAAAACACTCAGAATTACAGCATCACAATCACATCATTATTATTACACCATAGACACAAAGACAAACAAGCATACCAAATTTCAAAAAGGCAGCATTTGCAAAATCGGACGTCTAAATATGAGCAGAACAGAAAGTGTCCAGCAGATGGCAGACAAGAHTCTTCTTAAAGGGCTGTAGTTTTGAAATGGACTTTATGTTTTGAGGAATGTCATTCCATGCTTTAGTATAAACATAGAAGAAAGACCTCTGGCCGTAACAGTGGCCAGGAATCGAAGCAACTCGGGCAAACACAAAAATGGTTGTAACTCAGYCAGCTTTACAGATATTGAGCTCAAATTTGGCGCATAAAAAAGGTGARGTTCATCTCCAACGCTTACTCTAATCGCTGATTGAAATCTTGGAATTAACTGTTTGTTTGCAAAGTTACAGAAGAACCACTAACTGGATTTTAATAATATTTTCAGAGAGCAATCACTGGAGCAAGTCCATTTCATGATGGCTACTACAGCCAATGACCTTAGAAAACACTGAGCTGAATTTGGTGTAATGACTGAGTCATCCCCAACACTGAAGAAAATATAATAATTTCATGTACAGCAAGTAAAATAAGTATTGAACATGTCAACATTTTTCTCAGTAAATATTTTACTAGAGGTGCTAATGATATGAAATTTTCACCAGATGTCGGTAACAACCCAAGTGATCCATACATACAAAGAAATCAAACCATAAATGTCCAGAAATGAAGTTATTTGTAATAATGTGGAATGGCACAGGGAAAAAGTATTGAACACATGAAGAAAGGGAGGTGTAAAAAGGCATGGAAAGCCAAGACACCAGCTGWACTCTCTCAGTAATTAGAAAGCAAGCCTGCCCCTTGTCAGTGCAAGTTAATATCATCTGGTTCAGTCCCAAATGATGGCCAGGTATCACACAAGAACCATCTGATGATGGGTAAAAGTAAAGAGCTCTCTCAAGACCTTCACAACCGTATTGTTGCAAAGCATAATGATGGCATCAGTTACAGAAGAATGTCTAAACTTCTGAAGGTTCCAGTGAGCACTGTTGGGGCCATAATTCAGAAGTGGAAAGAACATTATTTCACCATAAACCGACCACGACCAGGTGCTCCTCACAAGATTTCTGACAGAGGGGTGAAAAGAATTATCAGAAGAGTTGTCCAAGAGCCAAGGACCACTTGTGGAGAGCTTCAGAAAGACCTGGAATTAGCAGGTACGTTTGTTTCAAAGAAAACAATAAGTAATGCACTGAACCACCATGGCCTGTATGCACGCTCACCACGCAAGACTCCACTGCTGAAGAAACAGCATGTTGAAGCTCCTTTAAAGTTTGCTGCACAACATTTAAACAAGCCTGTGTAATACTGGGAGAATATAGTCTGGTCAGATGAGACCAACATTGAACTGTTTGGATGCCAGAATACACATCATGTTTGGAGGTCAAATGGCACTGCACATCAGCCCAAAAACACCATACCAACAGTGAAGTTTGGAGGTGGGAACATCATGGTGTGGGGCTGTTTTTCAGCATATGGTACTGGCAAACTTCAAATAATTGAAGGAAGGATGAGTGGAAAAATGTACAGAGACATTCTTGATAAAAATCTGCTTCCATCTACCAGGAGGATGAAGATGAAACGTGGCTGGACATTTCAGCAAGACAATGAGCCCAAACACAAAGCCAAGGAAACTCTCAGTTGGTTTCAGAGAAAGAAACTAAAGCTGCTGGAATGGCCCAGCCRATCACCTGACCTGAATCCAACAGAAAATCTATGGAAAGAACTAAAGATCAGAGTTCATAGAAGAGGTCCACGAAACCTTCAAGATTTGAAGACTGTTTGTGTGGAAGAATGGGCCAAAATCACACCTGAGCAATGCATGCCACTAGTTTCTCCATACAGGAGGCGTCTTGAAGCTGTCACTGACAACAAAGGCTTTTGTACAAAGTATTAGATAAATTTCAGTAAGTGTGTTCAATACTTTTTCCCTGTGCCATTCCACATTATTACAAATAACTTCATTTCTGGACATTTATGGTTTGATTTCTTTGTATGTATGGATCACTTGGGTTGTTACCAACATCTGGTGAAAATTTCATGTCATTAGCACCTCTAGTAATATATTTACTGAGAAAAATGGTGACGTGTTCAATACTTATTTTACCCGCTGTATTTATGACTGACTGACATTTGAGGTTAATCCAATTTAAGATGGTTACCACAGCTAATCTTTGCCAACACAACATGAGTTTAATTTACTCAAAAATATTGAGTAATAATGAGTAGTAAAGCGGTAAGATTTATAGTAGTTGAGAGTCATCCTCAACACAGACTCTGAGCTTTAAGATGATGTCATTTTTTTTTTTTAATTCACGATGACCTCCAGTGAACTGAACAGACATGCAGAGATGAAGCCTGTGTTTGTAATGTTTTTGTTGATTTGATCGCATCTATCCCTTTAAGACGAGCMGTGTTTGTTGGGCTGAAGGCTCGTGCCCATCAGGAAATGGAGCAGCATGTGTTCAAGCGAAATCATCAAACTTTTCTTTTTGTTCGCTTCTCTCTGATCACCTGGCAGCAGAAATCTGTCAGGTCCCCCCACCCCCGGGTCTCATCAACACTGGACTTACCACACTGTTCCGTACGCCCCGGCCCCGACCTGCCGCAGGTTCTGGTACCGCTCAGGGACTACCCACGCGCTTTGGTTCACTTCCTTGTTGTAGAACCCGGGTCTGACTCGTCTCATTTTTGAAAAATGAATTAAAAAAATATCTCAGACGTACATAAAACAAAGCTCAGCTACAATCCCTTTGTGAGTTCAGGCGCTACGCACCCATCGCGTCCCTGGRTTGCGCTGATCTTTGCGCAGCTGCGCTCCGGGCGCACCCTGGGGGCGCAGAAAGCCACTCCCGAGTCCCGACGGGCCGGGCTGAGGCGAGCCGAGGCGTCCAGTTAGAGGTGAAGAAGAAAACTGAATCAGTGTAAAGTGTGAAACGGACCATCTGCGGCTTCCTACCGTGTTGTTGGTTAAAAAAAAAAAAAAAAAAAAAACTTGTCGAGACATGAACCAAACTGGCGCCTGAGGTTAAATGAATCCAACTATGTGTTGTTGAATTCCTCACTGACATGCAACCAGGAAACACAAATGGAAACTACAAGTTCAAGCTCCTTCTGGTAAACATTTAATTCAAAATGAAAAGATAAAACAGTGACAAAAGTTACATCTTAATGAGAGAAATAACACTGAAAGCTTAAAGAAAATGCAAACTTCAAAAATATAGCCTGAACTACATTAAATGGCAGTTTGAAAAGAAAATAATATTAACATTAGTTTGCTGGATATAGGCCTATTTTATATAATTTGGGGTCCATACACAATGTAAACCAGAGGTTCTCAAACTGGGGTCCCAGGACCCCCAGGGGTCCGCGATAGGTATCTTGGGGGTCCTCAAAAAATTTCCCTAAATTGTTACTTTGGTTTTTATTTTTAAAAATGCATGGAGAACAATGAACTAATAAAACAAACACACACACACACACACATATATAT